ACCCACTCATACTACTTCCTTTGGTTAAAGAAGACAAAATAAATGTATATATAGATAGATAGTAGATAGATCATTCCCTGCCACTGAGTCAATTCCAACTCATAGAAGAGAAGAGGAAACGATGGGTTTTTGTTTATTCGTTTGTTTAGCTCCTGTGATCGGTAGGGCTTATGTCAACTAGATACTCTCCTGTAAGAGTAGGGGTGAAGCCCAACCTATCAATTGGGTCCACACCTGATGACACCTCCTTGGGGGTGTGGCCTTTTGTATAAGGAAGAGACAGAGCAGAGTCAAATCCTCCTTGGTTCTTCCCCTCCTGCTGCAGCTGCATCTTGCATCTGGTCCCTCAGTCTCCTGTTGCCTGGCCTACTGATTCCAGGGGCCATCTACAGATGATCGACTGTGGATTCATTTGGCTGAGTTCAGATTAATGTACCTCTCCAGCTGCCAGCCTGTGTCCCCTGCCGCCTCTGCTTCATCACCCTGCTTCCTGTTTCTCAGCTTTAATGAGTCAGGAAAATCCTGACTTGAATTAGACTGGACTTAACTACCTCTATTATTGTGTGAGCCACCAAGTGACCATGCGGCCTGAGCTGCCCATCATGAGCTGGGTGTTGTCTGATCCACAGAGTCATAAAGTTGGATGGGCACAGCAGCACTCCATTATTAAATGCCAGTAGTATATAGGAGAAGGTACAAGCAAGCTGTATGAAGTGGCGCCAATGTCTATGATCGCCACCCCTGTCACAATACCACCGTTCCCCAGCATGATTTGGGGAGTTAGATGACAGAGGAACAGAATCCTTGGTGTACTGATGGTTCTGCACAGCGCACGAGTACCACTTGAAAATGAACAGCAGCAGCGCTATTGCTCTTTTCTGGAACCTCTGAAGGTTGGTGATGAAGGGTTCGCCTCCCAATGGTCAGAATGTTGAGCGCTGTACCTGGTTGCTCAGTTTGCTTGGAAGGAGAGATGGCCACATGTACAACTTCATACTGATTCATGTGCTGTGATCAAGGGCCTGGCTGGATGGTCAGGGACTTGAAAGGAGCATGATTGGAAAATTGGTGACAAGGACGTCTGGGAAAGATGGACCTCTCTGAATGGGCAAAAAAGTGAAGATATTTGCGTCTCAAGTGAACGCTCACCAGAGGATTAACTCTGCAGAGGAGGGCATTAGTAGCCAAGTGGATAGGCTGACACATTCTGTGGAAACCAGTCATCCTCCCCCGCCCCACCCCCCCACCACTCCTGTCCTTCCCCAACGGACTCATGAACAAAGTGGCCCGATGGCATGGATGGAGGTTCTGTGGGGATAACCTCAGCAACATGGACTTCCACTTACCAAAACTGACTTGGTTACTGCCATTGCTTAGTGCCCTATCTGCCAGCAGCAGAGATTAACAGTGAGTCCAAGATATGGGAGCATTCCTTAAGGGAGGTGGGGGGGTAGGGGTAGGGGTTGGGGAGTCAACCAGTAACCTGGTTGCAGATTGATTACATGGGACCACTTCTTTCACAGAAAGAGCAGAACTTTGTTCTTACTGGAATAGACACTTATTTTGGATATGGATTTGTTTTCCCTGCATGCAATGCTTCTGCCGAAACTACCATTCGGGGACTTAACAGAACGTATCATCCCCTAATATGGCATCCCATACAGTATAGCCTCAGATCCAGGGACTCCTTTTCAAAGCAAATGAAGTGTAGCAGTCGGCCCATCCTCATAGAATCCATTGGTCTTACCATGTTCCCCATCACCCTGAAGCAGCTGGCTTGCTAGAATGATAGAATGAACATAATTAAGGCACCAGTTTGGTAGCAACACCTTGTGAGGTTGTGGCAGTGTTCTCCAGGAGGTTGTATATCATCTAAACTCCTGTCCAATATATGGTGCTATTTCTCCAATAGCCAGGATTCACAGGTCCAGGAACCAAGGGCTACAAATTGGAGTGACACTATTACTCCTAATGACCCACTCGCCACATTTTCCCTTCCTGTCTGAGTTAGTTAATTGTGCCAACCTGGCCGATACACACATGTGGGGCTAATTGAAAGGCGGAGGGATAAATGGGTGGTGAGCCTCGCCTTTCTAGTTCTCAGGTCTCTTGCTTTGTGATGGTCACACCAGGGTGCAGCTGCCTTAGCAGTTCCCTG